GAAAGGTACTTTTATTAATCCCAGGAGGAAAATTCACTCCATAGGTAGCAAGTGCAAAATTGCCTATTACAGAAGGAAGACCTGCACATTTTCCCCTGCAGTATTTAAAACATTTGGCACACGGAAATAGTACTAGGGCCGAAAGAAGATGGTCCTGTGGTACACATGAAGATCTGTTGTAAAAGGTTTTCTATAGCAAAGCTGTAGTATTTCATGATGTTGACAAAGGACATACAGTATGTGTGTGTGTGTCTTTCTTTAATTCCTGTGAGTATATCAGCATGGTGTTCAACCAAACAGGCACAGGTTCATACGGAGAGAGATAGACAGATAGAAAGACAGATAGACAGACAGACAGACAGACAAAAAGACAGACAGACAGACAGAGAGACAGACAGACAGACAGAAAGAAAGACAGACAGACAGAAAGACAGAAAGACAGACAGACAAACAGACAGAAAGACAGACAGACAGATCGACAGACAGACAGATAGACAGATAGATAGACAGATAGACAGAAAGACAGACAGACAAACAGACAGACAGACAGAAAGAGAGACAGACAGAAAGACAGACAGACAGATCGACAGACAGACAGATAGACAGACAGATAGATAGATAGATAGATAGCAATTCTGTTGTGGAGCTGTTATACAGCATTATTTGCTATAAATTATGTATATATTTGCTGTTATACAGCAAATCAAAATTCTTGTCATGACCTTTCAAAATATGCATTGATGGATTTTTGTCAGAACTGTGGAACAGGTGGAGGTCTATATTTACATATTGTTATTTGGGAAAATGAGGTTTATTACACACTGAACTGGCATGCAGCCACTAGCACTCATTGAAATTTCTGTTTCGGTCCACCTGACATAAATACAAGTTCAATAATTCCCCGTCGTTTGACAGTGATTTCCTCTAAAACATTTTCGGAGGAAAAAAAAAAGAAAAAAGAATCATGGTGTGAATGCATTACCAATTTGAAATCCATTGATTTAAAATATGGATGCAAAACTGCCTAACTGAAAGAAGTTCAAACGATTACAATTTCTTCTGACAGTAACAAATGGCAAATATTAATTATGGCGGTTAAAAGAAATAAGCACACACATTTGACCGGTGGATATTTTTCTACAGCCAAACCAGGCATCGCCTGAGGGGCTGGATTCAGCCGGCGCGCTGCTCAAAATCTGACTCCAAATGTAGCATGACAAACACAGACACAACTCTAATCTGCTCTTCAAGACTTAAATCCTTAAAGGATTCCTTAGAAAGTCCCTGGAGGACTCTAAGCCGTGTGAGTATTTTGCGCTTATCTGAAAACATCTTGTGACATTTAACTGTTATTCGCTCTGGGACATGTTTACATCAAACACAAGCTGAACCACCATTTATAAATGTCAGGGTGAAGTTGCAGTTTGCAGCGTGTGTAAGAAATACGTCTAAATTTAGCAAATGTGCAGTGGCACTGGGTGTGCAGTCAGTGCAGTGCAGTGATGATGATTATACATGCAGTAGTGAATAATTAAACGTTCATTCTACCAGTTAGTGAGGAAATATGCAGAATTCTTATTTGCAACTTTTGCCGACTGCTGAGCAAACACCTCAGCCGACAGTGACTGGCTGTGCTGCTGCTCCTCCGACTCAGAGAAGTGTAACCACTTGGGAGATTCTCAGTATTATAAGACACAAGTCTGCAGAGCTGGATACAAGCAGCAATTTCTTGAAGTAGTTTTTGGCGAACGCATGAATACTGCATGTAGTTCCCTGCTGTTTGAAGAGACAAAGACAGAGTCTACAGGATACAGGAGTTACTCCAATCAGGCCATCTGAGGCTTACATCGAGATTATGACTCAGCTTAAGGTATGGTGTTTACAGTGAGGAGTAACGATAAAGGGAGAAAAAGGAGTTTTTCCAGGGTTATTGCGGTTCTCCAGGCAGACACACGTGAGAAGCTTGTTATGAAACAGTTATTGTGGGATTTTAGAAAAAAAAAGATTCATTTTGGGCGAGGACTTAACCAAGTGTTTTCAACCTTGGGGTGGCGACAACAATGGGGTCTCCTGGAATTCAAATGGGGCCACTCAAAATGTCTAGAAATTTATGAAAGAAATTGAGTTGAGAGATATTAATAATAATAATAAACAAATAAAGCACTGTAATATTTTCAATACATCTTACAAATCATGATGAAAAAACGAATTCCAGAAAAAAAAAGTCTCTGAGTCATAATGGGATCATAAGCCCAAATGGTTTAGAAACCACTGGTGTAAATTATTTGGGCAAAAAGAAGTCTTCAATCCTAATGAAATAAAGACATTTTTAAATAATTTTTTTTTGCAGATGTGCATTTGAAAGTTAAGCTTCTGTTTGTCTGAGCTCCAATCTGTCACTTTTCCATCATCTCCATAACTGGAGTGCTTGAAATAAGAAGAACATGGCTGAAGTCAGAAAGCCTCATCCCCGTTCTGGGCTCTAACAGGATGAGCACTGACTGCATGTTTGAAGTTTAGAATCTTATCTCTCAGCCAAGCTGCAGAAATCTGAGGCAGGGAGGAGCTGCGGGAAACTGCTGATTTCGTCACACATTGCTTATTTCAGAAAGCAGTCTTTTCAACAAGGGAGCCCATTGTGGGGTCCGTGAATATGTGTCGGCGTACAGACAATGTGTGCGTTTGCACTTTTTTTTTCATCCCCTTTCTCGGAAAGAAACATTCTTTAAAACTGACTGTGTTTTTCTTTCACCTTCCCAAACGTATCAGTGTTTGAATGATCTGAGATATCCCTCATTTTGGTGGCATGGCTCTGAAAGTTGTGATGGAAATCTCTGCGTGTCCTGGCGTATAATCATATCTCCCACAAACAGCTGTACTCCGCAAATAGCATGCAGCCGCACAGCTCCGTCGGGGCTGAAGGGAAATCGGCAGGCCTATTATGAGGCTGAAATAGGCCTAAAGAATTTTTTTAGCTCATCTCCTTAGCCATACCTCCAGTTGAGTGAAAGAGCTGACAAGGTGGAAAAGAGCTGACACAGAATTCTAATTCTATGGATGAAAACCTCGTGCTCATCAGAGGTGCAATTTCCCTGAGCTGTATTTTCACTGTGGGGATGATGAGGCAGTGGAGTTGGCCGAGCGGCGTGTAACTGGTACACGTTTAATGAGCAGTGTGGTGATTAATGGTGATTTGGTACCATATTGAGGATATATTTAAACATTTTTATTCCATCACACTGCCTCCTGGAGTGCAATAATTACATGGAAAAATAATTGAAGAAAAATAATCACAAAGCAGCCGCTCTGTTAGTGAGTTAAAGTGGTAACTATGTTAAAGTAGGGCTTTGGATGTAATGTCACCTGCTTTTATGATGC